ATCTCACTCTCAGCTGAAAATGTGGGGATTTAAAAGCAAATTTGCAGTAGGAAAAGAGCTCAGAGTATAAAATTATTTAGTCTTAATTTTATCTCACTCTCGGCTGAAAATTCAGAAATTTAAAATCATCGTTTGCTGTAGGAAAGCAGCTCAGAGTGTGAAATAATTTCATTATTTTGGGGTTAAATTTGGATTTTATCTCACTCACAGTGGAAAATTTGGGGGGTTAAAAGCATCGTTTCCAGTAGGAAAACAGATTAGTGTACAAAATTATTGAATTTTGGGGTTAAATCTTGATTTTATCTCACTCTCAGGGGAAAATTTGGGGGGTTAAATCCCAATTTGTAGCAGGAAAACAGCTCAGAGTGTGAAATAATTTCATTATTTTGGGGTTAAATTTTGGTTTTATCTCACTCTCAGCTGAAAATGTGGGGATTTAAAACCAAATTTGCAGTAGGAAAAGAGCTCAGAGTGTAAAATTATTTAATCTTAATTTTATCTCGCTCTCGGCTGAAAATTCAGAAATTTAAAATCATCGTTTGCTGTAGGAAAACAGCTCAGAGTGTGAAATAATTTCATTATTTTGGGGTTAAATTTTGATTTTATCTCACTGTGAGGGGAAAATTTGGGGGGTTAAAATCATCATTTGCAGTAGGAAAACAGATTAGTGTACAAAATTATTTAATCTTAATTTTATCTCGCTCTCAACTGAAAATTTGTGGATTTAAAACTAAATTTGTAGCAGGAGAACAGCCCAGAGTGTAAAATTATTGAATTTTGGGGTTAAATCTTGATTTTATCCCACTCTCAGGGGAAAATTTAGGGAGTTAAATCCCAATTTGAAGCAGGAAAGCAGCTCCAAGTGTGAAATAATGTCATTATTTTGGGGTTAAATTTTGATTTTATCTCACTCACAGGGGAAAAATTGGGGGGTTAAAATCATCATTTGCTGTAGGAAAAAGAGTCCAGAGTGTGAAATTATTTAATTTTGGGGTTAAATGTTGATTTTATCCCACTCTCAGGGGAAAATCTGGGGATTTAAATCATCATTTGTAGCAGGAAAACAGCCCAGAGTGTGAAATAATGTCATTATTTTGGGGTTAAATTTGGATTTTATCTCACTCACAGTGGAAAATTTGGGGGGGTTCAAAGTGAATTTGCTGTAGGAAAAGAGCTCAGAGTGTGAAATGATTTCGTTATTTTGGGGTTAAATTTTGGTTTTGTCCCATGCGCAGGGGAAAATTCAGAAATTTAAAATCATCATTTGCAACGGCCCAAAGTGTGAAATTATTTTGGGGTTAAATTTGGATTTTTATCTCACTGTGAGGGGGAAAATTTGGGGGGTTAAAAGCATCGTTTCCAGTAGGAAAACAGATTAGTGTACAAAATTATTGAATTTTGGGGTTAAATTTTGATTTTATCTCACTCACAGGGGAAAATTTGGGGGGTTAAATCCCAATTTGGAGCAGGAAAACAGCTCAGAGTGTGAAATAATGTCATTATTTTGGGGTTAAGTCTTGATTTTATCTCACTCTCAGCTGAAAATGTGGGGATTTAAAAGCAAATTTGCAGTAGGAAAAGAGCTCAGAGTATAAAATTATTTAGTCTTAATTTTATCTC